AATCTGTTTGTATTATTGAATCTCTTTGTGTTATTGTATTTATATTTATTTTAAATTGAATCTCTTTGTATTATTGTACCTGTGATGTTAACTTCAGCTAATTAATGTAAATTATATCTCTTTGTATTATTGAATCTCTTTGTGTTATTGTATTTATATTTATTGTACATTGAATCTCTTTGTATTTTCTTTGTATGTTTGTGTGCAGGTTATGGCTGAAGTGCCGCGGCTTTTGGAGGGGCCCCATGACGCCGGCCACCGTTGCCATCTATTTTTGAATCCAAATAAAGAACATGATTATCGGAGTTTCAGACTTCGAACCATAAAGAAAACCTGGCCAATACACAATTATTTCATTCCTCACCTTGACGCTTATGGACTACATGCTTTTGCTAGGCTCACATCAAGCGAAGATCAATCCCAGTTACGTTTGGACCCATCCCTTTTGACATCCCTCGTTGACCGGTGGAGACCTGAAACCCACACCTTTCACTTTCGTTTTGGGGAGCTTGCACCTACACTGAAAGATGTTTCTATGATCCTTGCTCTACCTCCTGGCGTGGCGGCAGGTGCCACGTGTCGCCTATCGCGCCTGCCGCCACCACTGAGGGGGTCCTTTTTGTCAAACTGATCCAGAGGTAGTCTTTTTTGCCACATTTTTTAGGACCCCCTCAACGGTGGCAGATAACTACATGGCCTAGACTGAGCTTGTGTTTACAAATAGGCTAGGTAATGTTTTGTACATGTATGTAACGCGAATTGAAAAGTAAACCTTCTTTCTTTTCCTTTTTCTACATCGATCTTTTTCTTACCATTTTCTTTTTTTCTTCTTTCTAGTTTTTTTCATGGTAATACGTGTCTTATTTATAAAATAAAGATGCGGTTATAAGGCACATAAGCACCGACATTACAACACTAAAAAGCAGTGGCGGATGTACAGGGTGGCCAGGGTGGGTCGCGGCCCATCCTGGGATTTTGAAACTGCTTGTATACCTATATCTCTAATTTGGGCCAGAGAGCAAAAAAAAGGCCCACTAATCTATACAGGGACGAACGCACGAGGAGAACCCTCGCGCCCCTCGCGCAACAACTCGTCTTCGTTATGACCGAACTCGACACCCAGCCGGCCAGCCACCTCGCCGTCGCGGCTTCGCCATTCCTCGTGGCTTCGCCGGTCGCCCGCCACCCACCGGAGCTCGGAGCCCCCTGCCCTGTGACTGGCCGCCCGCGTAGTCCAGCCGCACCCCTGCCCTGCGCTCCGGCGGTCCGGATTCCCGCCGGCCCGGGCGCCACCCAGCAAAGCCCAGCCAAGCCACCACGGCGGCAAACAAGTTATAGGTACTTTTTGCCCCAATTTCAGACTTAGGGTTTTCCTTTTTGCCCCCAATTTCAGACTAGGGTTTGCCTTTTTGCCCCAATTCCCTTTACATGAAGTGATGAACACATAGATAATTTTGCACAAGTACTTTAATATGTTCAAATCGGTCTATATGCAGAAATGATGTAAAATTTTAGTTGGCTTGAATGAAACCACAAAGGATTGAATTCAGCCTCAATTACTTTCATTATACCTTCATGACAATGCAGAAGCGTAAGCAAGAAACATAGGCTTTTTGAACTTCTCAAGGTATGTCTATGGTCCATATAGTATGTACTATGTAGGCTTATTTATGCAAAAATTAGTCTTAAGAATTCTAGTGTGTTTGTAAGACCATATTGATATATTTCTATGTGATACCGAGAACTAGTTAGAACGTTCACATGTCATATTTTTGTCAAAAAATTTTTGGGGGGCGGACCACCCTGACGACAAATGCTAGCTCCGCCACTGCTGAAAAGATATGATAATCGTATGCAAAATACCAGCGCTTGTTCCTCTTCTTCGACACCACCGAAGCGGCCATCAAAGGGAAAGAAAACAGATCACCTCTTCACCCGAGCTCGGCGCAGCTCCATCGCTGATCAGCAACTTTACGGACCTCGAAAGTAGTTTGCCAGAAGCAAAACCATTGTCGTTGAAAGAATCAGACCGGGGCAACATGTCCCCGAACACGCCATCAAACTCTAGATCTGACACCCCCGCACGACAACAACGTCGAAGGAGCAAACCAGAACTCTCAGCCACCAACCACAAACCCAGCATGGGATGCACCATCTTCCAGCTGTCACTTGCGCAGACAACCATGTGCGCGTACTCCTGGACGACAAAACCTCCCTGCTCCACCATGACGTCGGAGACAACACCACAACAATGGGGACGGAGCAGAAGGAGAGGCACACCTGATGGAGTCGCTGTCATCGCCTTGCCAACACCATCCATGAACCCTAATACAGCCGATCTGAAGGATCGACAAACACACGATGCCATCAACTCCGAGACGCCGCCATGAAGGGCACAACCAATGTGGGAGTGAAGCTGAGGCGGATTTTTCGTCTGGGCGCCGCTCCCACTACCCCAAAGGCGCACCACGACCTACAAATCCAAAATCTAACTACGGAGCGGAGGAACGGGGTCCCTCCTCCCTCCTGCATCCGGAGCAGCCAGAGGGAGAGGGGGCCAACGCCCTGTCCGGCTGAGATCGGAGGAAGAAAATCGCCTCCCTAGTCGCCTGGCGCGGCGGCGGCTGGGGTAGGGAAGAGGATATCAAGAAGCCTATTTTTCTTTTCTAGTCTCAATGACTCATCTACTCTGTTAGTATGGTTATATACGCACTGTCTAGCGGATAATTTAGGTACAAACATCAGGATAACTTTTTTGCCTAGTGAAAAAGTTGTTAAATACACAGCTTGGCGACTTCAATATAAATAACATGGCAATATACGCACAACAGATCAGAAAACTTAGGCAAATACATCACGATAACTTTGACCTGAGGAAAAGATTTATCATAAACATACCTGACAACTTAATTATCAAAAACATATCGTGACAATTTCTGTATAAAATAACATGGTAATATACACACAACTTACCTGGTAGCTTAGCACAAACACCACGATAACTTTTACCCGAGGAAAAATTTTGTTGAAGACACCCGCTATAACTTCTGTATAAATACCATGGTAATATACGCATAACAGTGATGACTTATGTACAAGCACCATGGTAACTTTGAACAAAAGAAAAAAGGTTGTTGAAAACGTAACCCCAGTTACTTTTGTGTAAGTATAAACGCTACAGACCTAATAATTTAGGTACAAACATCACGGTAGCTTCTACTTGGGGAAAAATTTGTTGAACACACATTAACGATAGCATATGTATTAATAGCATGGTAGACAGTACTGGTGGGGTGTTGAGAAAGGGAAAAGAAACATAGCGTGGCTGAGTTGGGATAGAATGATGCTACCAATATCTAAGGGCGATATGGGGTTCCGCGACATGCAAGCGTTCAATTAGGCTCTCGTCGCCAAACTAGCTTGGAGATTGTTGGATACTCCAGGCCGTCTTTGTGCAAGGTTGATGCGGGCAAAATACTATCCTAAAGGTAATCTGCACGCGTCCCAAAAAAATGTTTATACAATGCACAAAAATGTTTGTTTAATGCAAAAAAATTACAATTCAAAATATGTTACAACTTATATTTAAAACGTTGAAAAAACATCTATTTGGAAAAATGTTAACCGTGCAACAGACATACAGTGTATATGAGAAACATAGACATCAAAATATATATTTGAAAATAATGCTAATATTGTGTTTAAAAAATGTGAGATGTCTATTAAAATAATGTTTCAGATGTATATGAATAACGTACAGCGTGTATCAGGAAAAAGTAGACATCGAAACATATTTTTTTTGAAAAAATTAATCATGTGCTTTAAAAAAGTTAAATGTGTATAAAAATGTTTCAAATGTACACGAAAAAATTATGTTATGTTTGAAAGAAAGTAAACATGTGTTTTAAAAAACAGAAATACTAAAAATTAACTGTCAGATTTATAGCCATGGCAAATCAAATGTTTTTCACGACAGTTTATGTTGACACGAGGATGGAAATTTTGTTGGCAAGCACGGCAATTCCCCGGCAAAAAAATAAACTAGGGTAGATTTTCTGCTCGCCAATTAAAATTGCCATCTTCGGCAAACATAAATTGCCATAAAAAAATGTTTGATTTGCCATGCTAAAATAATCTGACGTCATATTTTTAGTGGATACTAGAAATGGTGAAGGAAAAAAACAAAGAGAATACCAAGAAAGAAAAATGAAAAAGAAAAAATAAAGAAAAATGAAAAACCATTGCAAAACAGTAGAACACGGTAAAAATCGAGAAAGAACCAACGAAAACCGAGGGAAAAATTAAAAAACCAACAAAAGAAACTGAAGGAAAAAAACAGAAAAAGGCAAAACAGTGCAAAATGGTGCTACATCACTGTGTCGGCCTAGTACTGCAGCGACCCGACACTTGGCGACTACTTTGGGCTACCAGCGGCCCCGCCTAACCCAGTCGAGTCGGCCGGCGACGGCAGCCTCCTCTCTCCGCTCGCCGGTCGCCACTGCTTCCGCTTTGCCTCCGGGCTCGTCGGCATCCACCTCCTCCGGCCGCACGCTCGCGCACCTCACCAGCGTCGCCTCCTGTGACTAGGCGACTCCAGTCTCCACTCGTCACTGCTCCCGCGCCGCCTCCGATCTCACCGACATCCATCCGTCCCGGCCGCACGCCTGTGCACATCACCAGCGTCGCCTCCGTGGTAACAATCCCTCCCTCTTTCCTGGCCGACCCCTTATCGCCGCTTAAGCCCCTATCTCTGGGGGCTTTAGGTCTTAATCAGCTTCCGGAACCCTAGACTTTTGCAGTGGCACCTACTAATTTCATAACGCCGTAGTCATATTTGGTGAATAGTACAATGAAAATCGAAAAAAAAATGCCCACTTGATGCGAACCTGTTGTCTCTATTGTGCATATTTGGGTGTTCTTGCTCGCCTGATTATTGGGCAACATGATAAGCATACTCCCCTGTTGTTGTTGCAGACAAAATGTGACGCCTGCCCTCAGTGATGCCGCAGAAGTTGCGCGTTGCCGCATCCAGTGATGGTGTGCTGCCTGAAGACATGCTGCTTCAAATCCTTGTGCGCCTCCCGGCAAAGACGGTATGCCTCTTCCGAGCGGTCTGCCGATCCTGGAGGTCCCTCCTCTCAGATCTGCTCTTTGTTGCAGCGCACAAGTCCCACCACTCTGGGCCACTAATCGCCACATGTAGTAGATTGTATGGAAGCGGCACCATTGACATTCTGGACTTGTCTGGCTCTGTTGTTAAACGGATAGCCACCAGCATGGCTGCTCCCAGGTTGGTGCGCACATGCCGCTTGGACCTTATATGTGTCACCGGAAGTAACCACTTTGCGGCCTGCCATGTGATCAACCCTGCCACAGGGGATACGTTTGCATTGCCCATTCACCGTGCAAAGGAGCATGCACATGTGGAACATTTCTTCCCAGTATCATTTGACTTTGGACAGGTTGGCTCCACGGGAGAGTACAAGGCTATACGCTGTGTCAGTATCGACAATTCCGATAGCGAGTCGAGCCCGATGGTCTGTGAGGTCATCACCCTTGATGATGGTCGCCACGCAAGATGGAGGGGCAAACAGGGCCCTCCGGCCCCTATCGCAAGTAAGCGTGACAAAAGTGTCACTGTCAAAGGAGTTGTCTACTTCTTGCTGGAATTTTGACGTCCCACATTTTCTGGCGACCATGTCGAACCGGGTAGCATGGCTTTGTTCAACCTTGAGACAGAGGAGTGGATGGGGATTGTCAAAGGTCCAATGTCAGTGCGCAGCTTTGTTGAGGATAGCAATGGCAGGTCCAGTTACGTTAGTCTAGACTTGGAGCTATCACTGGTATGTTTGGATGGGTTCTTAGGTAAGGCCCACGATTCTGAATATTGCCCTTGGGACTTATGGTTTTTGATGGATATTGAGAAATGTCTCTGGAATAAAAGGTACAGCATAGATCCCCAACGTGAAAATCTCTTTGCTCAACCAGTGGACATTCTAAATGATGGGAGGATAGTCATCTCTGCACCAGGATTGCTAAGGTTGTATAATCCAGTTACCAAGACTTACACTGATTGTGGGATGAGGAAATCCTCATCTGTTGGTACTTACACTGGAAGTCTATTGTCTTCAGAGAGCACGTTCACTTCTGAGGTGAGTGTTATCCTCATATACTTTGGAATTATGTATGTATGTTTGTACTGTCCTTACTATTATTTGCTTTTATCATTGTATCTTGGAGATAATTTTCTAGGTGATGTGGGGAACACCTGTGGGTTAAAGAATTATAGCTGCATTTTTAGGAAAAACAGTTGTTGCAGCGTCATAGGTGTGACACACAACATTAGCATATGGATTTTTCCATTTATTTATGGTCATGTTTTTCAATCGATTCTATGCCCTTCAAATTGATTTATATGTATTTGTAGGTATCATATAATGGTTATTAGGTCTGATTGATGGTACTTATTCTATATTCAGATTTTTATTGTAGTGTCAAGAGCCTACCCCAACTTGTTTGGAACTAAAGGCTTTGTTGTTGTTGTTGTTGTCAAGCTGTTCAGTTTTGGGCAATTGCAGATTATAATCCCTTCTTTTTAGAATGGAAATTATGGTCACATTGATAAATTTAGAATGCTGACTATATGATGGATCTTTTTGAGAAGTGGGTCTTATTCAAAGATCCACCAGTGAGAGTATCACATTTAAGAAGTGTCCGTCTGTCGATGTGTGTCATAGCACTCAGATATAGAATTAAAAAAAAGGATCTGATTTGCCATGGTCGCTACAAACCTACCTACAGCACCGATGTTCAGATTTGTGCAGTTTACTTTTGTGGCTGCTCGTCCTATTTATATGCCGTTGGTTAATTATGTTATAGATTGACAGGCTATCTACATTTTATGGTTGTCTAGTTTGTGTACTCTTCTTCTTTCCGGTTTGTGACACATACACATACTCCACCCTTTCGGGTTTGTAAGGCTGAATGCGTATTCTGAGATTTACTTTGACCATCAATAAAGTGGCAGACCGGTGCATGTAGCTCCCGCTTGCGCAGGGTCCAGGGAAGGGTGACTTTGGGTCTATTGTACGCAGCCTTTCCCTACATTTCTGTAAGAGGCTGTTTCCCGTGACCTCATGGTCACAAGGCAGCAGGCAGCAGGCAGCAGCTTTACCATTGCGCCAAGGCTTTACTTTGACCATCAATATTATATGAAATGTATGCCTTGAAGATTATACCATTGGAAACTTCTTTCAAAATTCAATGGTATTACTTTTTGTGGCATACATATCACATATTATTGGTCTAAATAATGGTCAAAGTAAATCTCGAAATACATATTAGGCCTCATAAACCCGGATAGAGGAAGTGCATACTTTTTTGTCCCAATGAATTTAAGTAAACTGCCAGCCATGCTAGATTGGGAGATTGATAATGAAATATCAAGAATGGATAATGAGTAGTGATTGGTAATGAAATCAAGAACGAATGATGAGTAGTGATTTTCACAATATATTTTGAATTGGTTCAGAACTGTAGTGTGGTAGGTTGTGACATCCACATCTAGGATCATTTTGGTATTACTATATCTCTGGGTTTGACTGCAGATCTGACGCACCCCTTTTTTGTTACAGGCTGAACGATGCACTACCTGCGGCTGCTATTTCACCCTCGAAGCCGATAAATATTCTGACACCTGTGAAGATTGTATGTGGCGTGCATATGCATGGTCATGTTGAACTTCCCGGGCATCTTTTCGCCATGGCCCATATTGGCTCTAGGTGTGTATGCACTATGCAGCGCACACCATTTTTGCATTTGGAAGGCGGTGGTGAACTGGGCATCCATTGGTTTTTACCAACTGCCAATAGACAATTTCAAGTATGATTCAACAAATTTAGTTTTCAAATGCTTCCCTGGTTGGATTTTGGAGAACGCTGTTGCGAGTCTTTTCTTGATGGAGCTTGTTTTGAAACATATGTTAGGTACGGAAGAAAATATGCTTCATCTTGTGATTTCCTGATGCAGTATATGGATTTACCATTGTGGACCTAGAAAAGAGTGAAGCCTTGTGGAACAAAAAATCTGGAACCTGTGGCAAGAAATCTGGCGCTGCTCTCTTCCAAGCGTGAGCCTAGCGTCGCCTATAACGGGCGGAACAAGCCGATCTAGCCGGCCGCACAAGTCAGGATTTTGTTGTTTGTTTTTGACATTGTTCCAAAGTAGTGTACGGACTAGTGGAAAATACCGTGATGAACCTGATATGGGATTTTTTTTTAGCAATTTGACTTACTGCCGTACTCGTATAAATTTTTTGACAAAGAAAAACTCCACCTAAAAATCTGGGTGAACAAAATAAAGTTAAAGGACAATATAAAGTGAATAGTAATTCTATTATATTGGTACGGATTCACTTTATAAAGGCCAAGATTTTGTTTATAGAGTTAATATATATTCCCTCCGTTCCAAAATACTTGTCTTTCTAGGCATTTCAAATGGACTCAACATACGGACGTATGTAGACATATTTTAAAGTTTAGATTCACTCATTTTGCCCCGTATGTAGTTACTTGTTGAAATCTCTAGAAAGACAAGTATTTAGGAACGGAGGGAGTAGTGAATAGTAACTCTAATAGAGTAACTCTAATAAAGTTAAAGGACAATATAAAGTGAATAGTAACCCTTTATATTGTCCTCTAACAAAAACGCATGACAAACATATATGCCCTTGCACTCTAATATAAAGTTAAAGGACAATATAAAGTGAATAGCAAACAAGAAATCCACAAAAACGTCACTAGAAAGAATATAGACAAAAAAGAAAACCCGACACGGCGTGTAGCCACACCCAAAGGCTTACTAGCAAAATGTATAGATTTGTGATAAAAATGCAAACTAATACAAATTATGCACATCCTAGTGCAAATTTATTTGTACTATTTTTTCGGCGACCATTTTCAGGGGTTTAAGCCATACGAGGTGGGTCAGGTGGCCATCAAGGTTTAAGGGTGTGTTTAGTTTCAGTCATCAAGTGGAACGACATGGGTTGGACCCGTCCCTGGGCCTCGTTCAAGCGTTTGGTTAGCAAATGAACAGAACCCACTCGTTCCCACCGAACGAATATTCCGTGTATATCCAGAACCAAGCCATGCCTCCAAATTGGACGGACCACGCGGAACGGGCGCCTCCTTCCCCTCCCCCCGACTTGCACGCAGCCTCAAAATCTCAGCGCCGCCACTCCCCCGACTCCCACCTCGCTCATTCTCCGTGTATATCCAGAACCAAGCCATACCTCCAAAGAATCAAAACTCCCTCTCTCTCTCTCTCCAAAAAGAAAAAATACCAACCATCGTCCGGCTGGGAAGCATGGCAGTTGCGAACGACTTGCATGGCAATTTATGTTGGCTGAGGATGACAAATTTATTTGCCAAAGATGATAAATCCGCCTAAGTTTAGTTTTTTATTAAGATTTACCGTGCTTGCAAACTAAATTCGTCATCCTCATGACAATATAAACTGCCGTAAAACACCTTCTATTTGCCACCTTCCTAGCGAACGTCGGGTTTATAGCATTATAAAAAACAAAGGATGGTATATTTCGCTCAGAAAAAACGATGGGATTATCCACCGGCCTATGGAAGACCAGGTTCCTTCGAGAGGACGCTCGGCCTCGCGCACCGGCGGACGGAGCCCCCGACTTCAAAATTCAAAATTTTCCAATGGCCACGTTCCTCTTTCGCCCCCCTTTTCACGGCCGCCTCCGCCCCCTCCGCCGCCTCCTCCTCCCCCAGCCCGAACCCCTCTTCCTCCCCAGCAGAACCCTCCGCCTCCGCTCCCCCAGGCTCACCATGGCCTCCTCGCCTCCTCCCCCTTCGTCCCCATCCACCTCGACGCTCCCGCCGCCGCCCGAGTGGCCCTGCGCCCGCTGCACGCTCCGCAACCCGCGGAGCGCCGCCGCCTGCGCCGCGTGCGACGCCGCGCGTCCCGTGGACGTCGACGACGCGTCGCTGGGCCAGTCCGCCGTCGTCGCCTCTTCGTCGTCTCGCCCGCTCCCGCCGGCCCAGTGGTCCTGCGCCCGCTGCACGCTCCTCAACCCCGGGAGCTCCGCCGCCTGCGCCGTCTGCCGCGCCGCGCGTCCCGTGGCCGTTGACGACGGCGACGACCTGGACTTCTCCGCCGTCGCCGGCGCCTCGTTCCTCCCGCTTCGTCGGGACCCGAGGAACATAGGTCGCTCTGATGCCGCGATGAAGTTAGCTCGCGCGGCGTCGCCGGACGCTGTCTGCGAGCGCGCCGGCTCAAACGAAAGGGATAAGACTGCCGCCGAAAAAGGTTCATCTAGGGTTATATATATATTTTGCTTATTCTGTATGCAAAATAATCTTTACTTTGAGTTCTCTATCAAGATTCTTCTACAGTATCTAGGATTGAATTAAAAAGGGTTGTTTTGATTTTGTGTGCTTTAAGAAAATAAATATTGGAGTTCTTCTAGTTATTGAATGTGCAAAAACCGATTCTCCGTTGTGTTCTCCTGATCGATGCTGTCTTTTTATCTGAATCTTTTCGAATGTTATTTTGTAATCTTTCTTGTTTTTGGATGAAATGTTGGGATCTTATACAAATTTCAGTCTGACACATCTTAAATCACGGCAAGTTGACTATAGTTAGTGAGGTAAAAGAGAGTAATGCTCCTGATTGCCCTTAAATCGTTTGTTAAGAGAGTTGGATACCTATGGTACAATCAACCTGAGTAATTAGGAGCGAGTAATAATGCTAATGGCATATGTAAATGGGCTTAAATTCCCATGTCAGATGACCACAGATAGAATTTCAAAACATGGAAACTATATGAGAAAATTGATGTACTATGATGAGAGATATATCTGATCTTCATTGTGTTTGAGGCTTTAGCATGGTTGCTAAGTAGTGCTCCCCTCTGTAAACTTTTATAAGACATTTTAGGTCAAACGTCTTATAAAAGTACGTCTTATAAATGTTTACAGAGGGTGTACAACATAGAGCTTGCAGTTTCTGCCTAAATGTATTACTTTTTCATGCAAAATAACGTCACTTTGTTATGTCAAATTTCTTCTACAATATGACCTTGTCAATGCAATAATATTTCCTTTGGTTTATCTAGGGTGCTCTAGGAAGAGAGGCCACACAGCAACGTCAGACATCGTACACGAGGGCGACGGCTCGAACAAAATTGATGAGACGGCCACTGAAAAAGGTTTTTTCTAGGGTTAAAGTAAAAAAGGATTATTTTGATTTTGCATGTTTTTTGACAAATCAAGTACTGGAGTTTTTCTGCTTATCTATAAATCTATAATTAGTGAGGTAAAAGAAGAGTAAATGCTCCTGATTGACCTCATATTGTTTCATAGTGGACTCGAGTAAACTATTTTAAAGTCAAGCTGTATAATTGGGAACGAGTAATAATGTAAATCAAATCTTGGAAGGGGCTTAAATTCCCATGTCAAATGGGCACATATGGAATTTCACAACATAGTAAACTACCTAAGAAAATCGATGTACAATGATGAGGGATATATTGGTATTTGATTTTTGCTCCAATTTGTGTTCACTTGAATTGTATTTGAGCCTTTACCATGGTTACTAATTAGTACTCCCTCCGTCCCAGATTACTTGTCTTAGATTTGTCTAGATACGGATGTATCTAACACTTTTTTAGTGTTAAGTTTACGATATATTCGTATCTAGATAAATCTAAGACAAGTAATTTGGGATGGAGGTAATACAACACAGGGTTTGCAGTTTCTGCTTAATGTATTACTTTTTTATATAAGATAATCTTGACTTCCTTCTCAAATTTATTCTACAGCATGACCTTGTCTGTGCAATAATATTTACTTCATTTATCTAGAGTGCTCAAGGAAGAGAGGCTGCGTAGCGTCAGCAGACATCGTCCATGAGGCAAGGATTACGAGTCGACGAGTCGTTGAGTCGTTCCGAGGTTGAGACTCATAGACTAATCGGACTAGTCTTAGACTAGTGCTAGACTAGTCGACAAAGTACTGTAGTAGTCAACTACTAATACCTAGTAGCAGTATGTAGTAAACTCTACAACACATTACAGTATATACAATAAAACCAGCAGTAATAGCCAACGCTCGCCAGGCCCAGCCCAGTGCAGCTCAGCATGCCACCCCAAGCTGGCCCATTTGGGCCCAAGTAGCCAGCCTACTTAGCCTACTTCCTGTCCCAGCCTCTGTAACCCTAGCTTCCGATCGATCCCGTCGCCGCCGCCTGCGCCATCAGGCACAAAAGTGCGCGCGCGCGACCCGCGCCTCCGCCGTTGGCGAGCCCGCCGACCACCGCCGTGCATCCTCTCCTCTCTCTCTCTCTCTCTCTCTCGTCACAGGGCCACACGCGCCTACGGGGCACGGCCATGGCCGCCGCCCGAGCACGAGCTTCGGCCGGCTGCCGCGCCTTGCTTCGCCATCCGCCGTCCCGGCGGCGGGTCAGTGGGTGCTGGCGGTGGCCTCGTCCAGGCGGCTTGTTCTCATAGCTCGCTCTCCAATTTTCCCCTCCCAAATTTGAGTCGAGCGACTCAGACAACAGGACTAGTCCAGACTAGTCGTAGACTAGTCTCTCGACCGCTCGACTCACCGAATTAGTCTACACGAGATTTGCAGTCGACACCACAGTTGCGACTCATAGACTAGTCCATCGACTAGTCTCGACTAGTCCTTCGACTCGTAATCAGTGCCATGAGGACGCCGGCTCCAATGAAAGGGATGAGACAACCATCGAAAAAGGTTTATCTAGGGTTAAAGTAAAATGGATTTATTTATTTTGGTATGCCTTTTCTGAATGAAGTACTGGAGTTTTCTAGTTGTTGAATGTGCAAAAATCGCTCCTCTACTACATCTGTCCCTATAACGCATGGGTACAGCAATATGGATACGGACACTGCGATACGTCATTTTTTCAAAAACACAGATACGTTGGTACGTTTGTATATATATAATATTAGCTCCCTCCCAAAAAGATTGCCTTCGATTTATCTAGATACGGATGTATCTAACACTCAATGTATCTAGACAAATCTAAGACAAGCTTTTTGGGACAAGGGAGTAAATATTAAAAATATATAGAAATTGGTGTTTTTTATACAGCAATTCGTAAAATTGACAATTTCGGGTTGCATTTGGAGGAATCTGAGCAGCACTCAACATTTGGACTGCATTGACCAGGAGCTGTGGCAGTGCTCAGAATGGGTGATGGAGCAGCAGTGTCATGGAGCTCTCCTTGTCTGGTGTGGCCGCGCTCAGAACAGGGAAGAGAGCAGCGGCGGGCTGGCCTTCCTTACCTGTTTAGCGGTGGCACCAGCTCAGGTCGGGATGGAGGCAGAATTAGGAGAGAAAGAGGGAGGAGGGTGTCGTGGGTAGGGATAGTGGGATTTAGGACCCCTCAAAAAAAAATAGTGGGGTTTAGGGTTTTCCCGTCTTCGGCAGGTATCCCATGGGTATCCCACAGGTATCCCACAGGTATCCCATGGGTATCCCACAGGTATCTGAAATAATTTATTTTTTTGGAAAAGGGAAAATAGATGGATACATATCCGTTACGTTCCTGCAGGTATTTGGACATATCTGATGCGTACAAACGCTATGCCAGTTTCCAGAAGTATCCATGTAATCTAGGTCTCTCCTGATTCATCTTCTTTTCATCCGAATCTGTTCAAATGTTATATTGCAACATTGGACTTTCCCCCCTTCTTTTTTGATTTTCGGAATTTAAGCATGTCATCCTGAACGTTTTTTGATGGCAACTTTAGTTGCTGCGAGGTGGCAACTTTAGTTGTTAACACATGGCAACTTTGTTCCAGTTCGATTTTTTGTCAAAAAATTGCCATGTTTGTCAACATCGCCTTAACTAAAGTTGCCATGAAAAGAGTTCGGATTAGCATGCTTAAAAATCGAACGTTCGGGACTTATTGAGGTCCTAAAATTTTGGGATGCTACACAACTTTCAGTGCGACCCATCTTATTTCATGGCAAGTTATCTATAATTAGTGAGATAAAGGAAAAATAAGCATCCCAATTGCCCTCACATTGTTTGTTAACAGACTTGGATAAACTACGGCAAATCAACATGAGAGTAATTAGGAACGTGTAATAATGTCCGATGGCCACATATGGAATTTCACAATATGGTAAACTACCTAAGAAATGACAAGAGATATATTTTATTATTTTTTCACTCTAATTTTTTGTCATCTTCATTTTGTTTGAGGCTTTAGGACGGTTGCTAACTAGTACTCCCTCTGTCCCATAATTCTTGTCTTAGATTTGTCTAAATACGGATGTATCAAGTCATGTTTTAGTATTAGATACATCCGTATCTAAACGAATCTAAGACAAGAATTTTGGGACGGAGGGAGTACACCATAGAGCTTGAAGTTTTCTGCCTAAATGTTATTACTTTTTCTTTGTCTGTCAATGTCAAATCTCTTCTAGAATATGACCTTGTCCATGCACTAATCTTTCCTTTGGTTTACCTAGGGTGCTCGAGGAAGATAGGCCGCGTGACGTCGCCAGCCATTGTCCACGAGGGTGGTGGCTCGAATGAAAGGGATGAGCCAACTGCCAAAAAAGGTATATCTAGGGTTAAAATAAAAAAAGGACTATTGTAAATTTGTATGTTTTTAAAAATTAAATACTGGAGGTTTTAGTTGTTGAATGTGGAAGAATTGCTTCTGTATTACGTCTCTCCTGATTGATGGTGTCCTTTCATCTGAATCTGTTCAAATGTACTCCCTCCATCCCATATTAATTGTCATTCATCCGTTTGAACGACAATTAATATGGGACGGAGGGAGTAGTATATTGCCCACAGACTGATGCTGAGTAGTTCTATATAGTCTGTTTCCTGTTATGCTGAATATAACTCAGCATGAATGCATGATCCCTTTAAAAGTCACTAACAGATTTATCTTAGATATCGTATGTTCTTTGTCTTGAAACCCAGCATGAACTTATCTTGAAACCAGTGAACCCTTCTATGTTGTTTGTCTAAACTGATGAACAAAAGAAATATTTCTAGCTACTTTATGCAGGTTATTAGAGGCTAAATATTTATAATGCTTTCCACAGTAAATTCTGAAACTCATTTGGATAAGAAGACCATCAAAGTCATGACATACAACGTATGGTTTCGGGAGGATTTGGAACTGACGAAAAGGATGTATGCTCTTGGAAATCTTATTCAGCACCACAACCCAGATCTTATATGCTTCCAGGTCCAGAGTTTTTCAGTTTGAACTTATTGTTATTTCTTTTCCCCTTCTCAATTTCCCTGTGTAACTGCAGGAGGTTACACCAAACATATATATGCTTCTCCAAAAATCTGGCTGGTGGCAAGAATACAAATGCTCTCTGTCAGCTAGGATGGCCATGCAGAGGCAATATTACTGCATGCAGGTACTCACCGTGCTTCTCGCAAACTTCATATATGGGATGAGTGCAAGCATATGTGAATTTTGATTTACTCATCTTCTTCTACAGTTTACATGCAACTGTTAACTTTTAATCTCCATTAAAATAAAGTGTGCCTTTTATATTATGGCCACCAAGATGCACATATGACTAATCTGTTTATATAATGCCATGTAAAGCGCTACTGCTCTCAAACATTCTATTGCTCCTCTTTGTAGCTTTAGAGCATGTATCCTCTTATCATTTCATTCATGTATTTCAGTGATGTGATTCGATTGCAATAACTGCAGATGAGCAAGTTGCCCGTGAGTTCATTCGAATGCATGCCATTTTCCAACTCAGTCATGGAAAGGGAGCTGTGCATGGCAGACATCAACATTGGAGGTGCGACCAAGTTGGTGTTGGCCACAAGCCACCTGGAGAGCCCCTGCGCGTGGAATCAGATGTACAGCAAGGAACGAGTAACTCAGGCGAATGCATCCATGAGGATATTGGACAAGTTCCGCAACGTGATATTCTGCGGAGACATGAACTGGGACGACAAAGGCGACGGGCCATTCCCTCTCTCAGACGGCTGGGTCGATGCCTGGGCTGAGCTGAAGCCAGGCGAGGACGGCTGGACGTACGACACGCGGGCTAACGGTATGCTGGCAGGCAACCGCAAGCTGCAGAAGAGGCTGGACCGGTTTGTGTGCAAGCTGCCGGATTTCGAGATCAACACCATTGAGATGATCGGGAAGGAGGCGATACCTGGGATATCACACTACAAGGAGAAGACTGTCCGCAAGGTAGTCCAGAACATTGAGTATCCTGTGTTGCCTAGTGACCACTTCGGGCTTGTTCTGAGCATCACCTACGCATCATAGGGTTGAAAAGTATGTGTAAAAACGAGTATCACCTACGCATCACCTACGCATCACCTAGTAGTAGTAGTAGTGGCGGTGAATTTTGTAGCCCAATGGAAAGTACTCCTATCAAGTATCTCTACCCCTGGTTGAGAAGATAACTTAGAGACCGTTTCTGTCCCCTACTGTTTACTTCAGTTACTGGGGAAACATTCTCTCTTTATCGTGCTCAATTTTCGTTCTTGCACTACAGTGCCCAAGCAGGGGCTGCCTCCAGCAGGGGCTGGCCGTGTCACGCAAAATATGAAACGAAAGCATTACCTCGATGCTGGTATGAAACCCTAGTTCATCGATGTTCTTCGCTTGGTGTCGGAGTGACGGGCCACGGGTCTTCGCCTTGCTGCGCCCCAAGCTGAAGCTCCGCCCTTCGGGGGGCCGGCCAGCTCGACGGCCGCCACAGGGCGGCCAACCACCAGCCGACGGCACCACGAGCAGCCGACTCCATCCAGCTGGCCTCTAGAGAGGGCGGCGTCAAGCAGGCGGCCACCTCGCGCCCTCAGAGTTTGTGCCCCCTTCAAGAGGACGTGATGGGGCATGGCTACAGTGAAGCCCTTATCCCCAAATCATGGGTTCGGCGTGGCCACAGTGCCTCGTACGGACGGAGATCTCGGCACGGCGTGGCACTGTTGCCACCTATCCTTGGCGTCACACTGGACATGCAGAGCCCTGATCCCCACGACGGCCTGTCGGTACGGCCCGCGGGCTGCGGGCCCTCCCGGGCAGTGACACCCCAGAAGACGGCGCCAGCCTAATCAGTCGGACCAAGGGAAGGCCGGCCTCCAGCAGGTGGCCGTCCCCACCCTCGAAGCAAGGGCGCCATTGACCTGATGAGACCAGGTGTGGCTACAGTGATCTCCCACCAGGCGGCGGGACTGTAGCCACACTGAGCTGACCAAGCCCGCGTCATTAGCAGCACGGCTACAGTGAGCAGCCGCCAACCAGACCCGCCCGCGGCGGGGGCGACCTGTCGGCTCCGTACCAGGCCAGTCGGCGGGGGTAGTCGGCGGAGAAGCCGGAGGCTGGAGACACTGACAACCGGGCCCAGCAGCCGGCTAGATTACCATTGTACCCCTAGGGGGTAGGCCTATATAAGCCCCCCAGGGCACCCATGCAAAGGGTTCCCACTCTGATAGAACTAGCCAGATCACTAGAGCAGGGGAGAGCTAGCCTTGCCTTCTCCTACCTCTAGCATACAGCTCAAGGAGCACATTTGTATCACTTGTGCCATAGTAATCATGCGGAGACCCCGCAGAGCAGGAGTAGGGGTATTATCTCCAAGGAGAGCCCCCAACCTGGGTAAAGTACGCCGGCGTTCGTGTCTACGCCTCATCCCGCTTTCGGGCACCGGGGACGTTCTACTCGCTCCTACCATGATAAGCCATCCTTTGGCATATGTCGCACCCAACCCCCGACATTTGGCGCCCATCGTGGGGCGAGGTGCACCATCTCCCGGAGATCTGCTTTGGACGGGAACCTTGTTCCTTCCTGGCGAGCGAAGCCAGCCCAGCACGCCCGACAGCGTCAGCCTCGACGCGCTGAACGACGCGGAGATTGCCTGTGCGGCGAGCTGCCTCGCCGACCTTGTCGGCGAGATCCACCTCTCCGACGAGTCGGCCTCCGACGCGGGCACCGCCTGCCCCGAGAGCCGCCTCGACCAACTTCACGTCACCAGCGAGCCAGCTGTGGACCTAGAGTCCGTTGGCTCCACCGATCCGATGATCGTCGACTCCGACACGGCGTCGTTTGACGCGTTCCCCACCAACATGGTGGTTTACGATGAGCCGCCTCCATGCGAGCACAGCGGTGGGAGCACCGTCATGGAAGTGCTCGTCATTCACATCGGCGAGCACTCGGACGGGCGCGCTCGAGACCCACTCGACGCGGCTCTGTGAGACCTGTCGGCGCCCATCCCAGAGGGCGCAGATGCTGAGATGCTGGAGGCACGCCGCGTCCAGCTTCTCGAGAGCGCTGGCCGACTGGCCAGCGTGCGATGCCTCTCGGATGCCTACCGGCGCGAGATGGATTGGGCCGTTGGCGGCACGCCGGCTCTTGAGGGGCCTAGCCGCCTCGGCACGGTCCGGCAGCGTGGCGCGACCATCGCCAGCATGTTTGGGGCAGAACGCCCCGTCCACGCCACGCCGGCTGAGAACATCCGGGCCGCCTAGGCGGCGACGGATGAGCTGGAAAAATATGACGGCGACGAGCGCCGCCACATGACGGAGCGAGTCCAGCAGCTCCTAGACGCGGCTGCCGCGCAGCACAAAGTCGGCTGCCGTGCTGAAGTGCCCACCCAGCGGAACGAAGAGCCGCCCCTTCGCCAAGATCACGGCGCAACGTCCCGGACGCCGACTGGTGGCGCCCGCGAAAGAAGAGGTAACGAGCCGGCTGCCAGCCGCAGCCGGACACGCCTTTCCATCGAGTGAGACGAAGACGGTCGCCCTCGAGCGGTGGAGCGGCGAGGCGATCCGCCTCCTCCTCCGCCTCGTGGAGTGAGGCACCCCACTCCGCCGCCTGTCACGCACCCGACACTCGGCGACCGCCTTGGCCGCCGAGAGGGAGTCGGAGAGAATGACGCCCGCCATCGGATCGATCATCTCAACAGATCCCTGGCGCTAGAAGAAGAGGGCGCGTTGGGCCCGCCCTGTTTCGGCCCGCGAATCCGAGACGAGCCCTTCCCCAAAGGGTTCACCCTCCTGCGAGATACGCCCAAATACACCGGCTCCTGAAGCCGGAGGACTGGCTGGTCGATTACTCCACGGCCGTCAGCATAGCGAACGACAACAAGCGCGTTGCCATGAAGTACGTCCCACTCATGCTTCAGGGCACAGCCTGGACATGGCTCAACAGCCTAAAGCCCCGCAGCATCAACAGCTGGGTTGATTTCACCGAGGCCTTCATCCGCAACTTCACCAGCACCTACAAGCGGCCTCCCAAGCCCCGACAACTCTCCTTGTGCATCCAAGGGCCCAGTGAATCGACTCGCGACTACCTCACGCACTGGGCCGAGCTGCGCAACTCCTGCGAAGGCGTGCACGAGGTGCAGGCAACCGAGTACTTCAATGCCGGGTGCCGAGAGGGCACCCTCCTCAAGCATCGGCTTCTCTGCGACGAGCCTGCGACGCTCGATGAGCTGCTGATCATCGCCGATAAGCACGCCACGGCCGACTCCTCCATGAAGGCGGAAATCTTAGTTGATGCGTCCGGCAAGGTGGCATCCCAGGCCCCTAGGACTCCGGCTGGTGATACCAGCCGGCGACAGCATCCAAGCGACACCAAACGGAAGGCCACTCAGCCAGCTTCCACCAGCCGGCAGGTGGCGACAGTTGAGGATCAACGGCCGGAGGGGCAGCCGACGCCCAAGCGTCAGAAGGGCGGCAAGTCCAATTGGTTGCCCGCCTTCTCTTACGAGAAGACCCTCGATGCACCTTGCAAATTCCATAGTGGCGCGAAGCCATCCAACCACACCACGCGGAAGTGTCATTGGCTCAGCAGGATTGCTAAGGGAGATGGCCTCCTACCTCCTCCGCCTACCGGCCTGCCGCCTCCTCAGCCCCAGCAGCCGGCGGCCCGGCTAGTCGGCGCCATACAAGACAAGTATCCAGAAGAGCACGAAGCTTATGTTGTGTTCACCAGTGTAGCCGATGACAGACGAAGCAGGCGGCAGCAACAGCAAGAAGTGCAAGCAGTGGCCTCAAGTACTCCAGAATTCATGCATTGGTCTGAGAAGCCTATCAGTTGGAGCAGGGCCGACCACCCGGAAGTGATGCCTTCCCCAGGTTCATATGCCTTGGTCCTAGATGCTACCTTTGCAACAGAGAGGCGGGCAGTACGCTTCTCCAGAGTCCTGATAGATGGTGACAGCAACATCAATATCCTATACTGTGACACAATGGAGAAGTTGGGAATCAAGCAGAAGCAGCTCATCCCCAGTCGGACTATATTCCATGGCATAGTCCCTGGCCTTTCCTGCTCACCAATTGGCAAAACCCAAATTGATATTCTCTTCGGAGACAAGAATCATTTCCGTCGTGAGCCAGTGTGGTTTGAAGTGGTGGACCTCGAAAGCCCCTACCATGCACTGCTTGGCCGACCAGCTCTGGCCAAGTTCATGGCAGACCCCCACTATGCTTACCTCAAGATGAAGATGCCGAGTACCAAGGGGATCCTGACCGTAGTCGGAGACTACAAGAAGTCGGTCGCCTGTGCCGCAGATAGCAGCCGGCTGGCCGAGTCCCTTGTGATTGCAGCTGAAAAGCGGCTTCTTGACCGGGTGGTGGCGTTGGCAGGCAAGAAGCCGGAAATGTCACCCATCCCCAAGGAGTCGGAGGTTGAGGGCTCGTTCAAGCCGGCCAAGGAAACAAAGAAGATACCCTTGGACCTGGAGCACCCGGAGAGGCACGTTGTCATAGGTGCGAACCTTGACAGCAAATAGGAAAGCGAGCTCATCGATTTCCTCCGTGAGAATCGGGACATCTTCGCATGGTCTCCCAAAGACATGCCGGGTGTTCCGACGGATTTCGCCGAGCACAAGATACATGTCCGACCTGACGCCAAGCCGGTCCGGCAGCCCTTGCGCCGCCTGCCAGAAGAGAAGAGAAGAGTAGTCGGAGAAGAGATAGCCCGACTTCTAGCAGCCGGATTCATCCTGGAAGTGTTCTTTCCAGAATGGTTGGCCAACCCAGTCCTAGTATTGAAGAAGAATAAGCAGTGGCGCATGTGTATTGACTATACCAGCCTCAACAAAGCTTGCCCCAAAGATCCCTTTGCTCTACCAAGAATTGACCAAGTGATAGACTCCACAGCTGGATGCGAGCTTTGAGTTTCTTAGACGCATACTCAGGGTACCATCAGATAAAGCTGAACCCGGCCGACAGGCTGAAGACCGTCTTCATCACGCCATTTGGAGCCTTCTGCTACCTGACCATGACGTTCGGCTTGAGAAACGCCGGCGCCACATTTCA